TATTCCTGTTCTATCTATACTATATATCAGTGTTGCAAAAATCGTGTTGCTGACCACGGCGAGGAAGGCCGAAACCGGCCTCCTCCGCGCCCGCCTCGCCGGCTGAACTTGCGATTATTATTATTTTTTTTAAGTTGTAAAGTGTCAAAAGTTCGGCAATGCATAATTTTTGACTCGGTTGTCCGTTTTGGACAAATGTTTTTTTGAAATCGCGTATTTTTTGGGATATATCCAGACCCACCAATTTCTAAAAAAATGCTTTATTAAATAGTTTCTAAGAAAAAACTATGAGAACCTTATGTTTTATTAATGAATTTTTAAATTTTTTAATTAAAAAATTGTCCCGTGCATTATTTAATAATCTCTCTTTATAATTGGTCAAAATATTTAATTCTAAAAAATTAGGGAATAATTAATGATGGTAATAGAAATCCTAGAAGAATATAAAATTGAAGAATATTTAATTATTGTTATATTATTATTGTGACTCACGGAATACAATACAAGAATATTTAATTATGATTATATTATTATTGTGCCTCACGGCCATTATATATACTAACAGAACTTGAAAAGAAACTAATAATAATAATATAAGTGGTAAAAATAATATCTAAAAGTAATTAATTGTTAATAATAATAGTAAGAATATTAACGGAAAAATTATAACGTAGAATAAATTATAATAATTAATAACTATAGTCTAGGATTAAATTTGGAATTGTTAGGAAAGATAAGCGACCTCTGGTGAAATTAACTCTTAAATAATTATATATCGATTTAAATATTCCTAATATATTACAACAATTCCATTCCGTGCATCGCACGGGTGAAAATACTAGTTAGAGTAATATGAAAACAAGGGAAATAAGAAATAAAGAATGAAGCGGGCAAGGACCTTGTGGTCAAGTGGCACCAAGTTTCTCCCTTATATGGGAGGTTATGGGTTCGAGTCTTGAGTCGGTATTAACTATGTACTTCGATAGGTTGAGAAAGTAGTTATAAACACATATTGCATTCGAATTCGAATTAAGTGGATGGTGTTCTAGATGAAAATCTCTTGAAAAAAAGAGTTTACCTTGATTGAATTGGAGACAGAAAGATATGATGAGTTGGAAACGAATTTTTTCAATAGTAATGCCATGGACCCCGATCTATCTTGCAAGGTGAACCCTAGTCCAAAACAACGTCGTTTTGCTTCAAAACGATACCGTCTGGATTTTTTTTAAAAAATAAATTGCTTCATTCCTTATCGTTAACTTGCCGTTTGTCTTCAGAATTCGTTCCTATATATTCATAATTTTTTAACGTTATATTCACAATTTTTGAACTCTATATTTACAATTGTAGAACTCTATATTCACAATTTTTAACTCTATATTCACAATTTCATAACTGTATATTCACAATTACAGAACTCTATATTCATCAGTATAACACAATTTGTGAACTTTATATTCACAATTTTTTAACTCTATATTCACAAAATAAATAAACAAATAAATAAAATCATTGGCTAAAGGAACGGTGCCACTAACGACACCGTTATTCCAAACGCAAGTTTTGGACCCGGGTCCACAACATAATTTGTCAAATTTTTTACTACCTTTGTCAAGAAAAATGTTGTCGGTTTTGATCAAAGAGAAAGATTTAATCGAGTATATTTAATATATTGAGTAAATGATATATTTTAAATTTTTTCTAAAAGTAAACGTATGAGCATTAAATATTTTAGTATTCCAAAAATTTTTAAATTGTATTTTAATGGGAAAATGACACTTTTTCCCCCTGAATTATATACCTATAGCATTTTTTCCCCCTAAATTATTGAAGTGGCTGTTTTTCCCCCTAAAATGTTAAATGGACATATTTACCCTTAAACTAAATATTTAATTTATTTTTTTCCAACAAATTATGACCATAATTTGGTTCAAACTAAACAAACACTATAGCAACCAAACCGAAATATTCCAATTACAATTTAGAACCGAAATTTGATATTTAGAGTTTATTAAAATCGTGAACCGGAACGGACGGTTCATGTTCCGAACTGAAAAAATAAAATACATTTATTGTTGAATTTAGACTATTTTAAAATAAAAAAGGTTCAAAATAGCGAATTAGATCCGAAACCGCCGGTTCACGGTACAAGATTCAATTTTTTTGATACATAATTTTAATAAATTGACATTTAAATATTGGGTTCTAGATCTGAATTATAACCGTAAACTATTAATTTGATTGCTTTAGTATCCGGTTCAATTCAAACTGAACCGTGGTCATCCCTACATATACGCAATAATTCACTACTGGAAATTCTGAAATTTCCGACCACCTGAAAGTGATCTTAAATCAAGTTGAAAGTCTTGTTCCGACCACTTTTGGTATCCGGAAAAACCTTTGTTGCTATTTCCGACCACTTTTTGAACTTTTTGGTATCAACTTAATTTAAGATCATTTTCAGGTGGTCGGAAATTTCAGAATTTCCAGTAGTGATTTGTTGGAGTAATAAAATAAATAAAATGTTTACTTTAAGGGTATAAATGTCAATTTAATATATTAGGGGGAAAATGCACCACTTTTAGAATAATTGAGGGGGCTAATGTGCTTACCTAAATAATTGAGGAGGAAAAAAGTGCTATAAGTATATAACTCAGGGGTAAAAAGTGCCATTTTCCCTATTTTAATTAATGAAGTTTTGGAATTGAGTATTCCAATATAGTAAAGAAATTAAATTTAACGGACAAATGGAGTATTAAATTTATGAGTTATACGTCGAGACGAATTTGGTCCTTCGTTTATTTTGCTGTTAGACATCCGTTAACTCGGGACCAAATTGATAATTTCGTCATAGTCAATGGAGCATTTTAATAATTAATTTTCAAAGAAAATAGTGCATGCGAGGACCGAAGTTAGGGGTAGGCATAATTTGGATTATCCAAACTACCACCTGAAACTCGAACTAAATTGTAAATTTCAAGTGAACCCGAATAGTTATCTTTCGGATATTGTAAATTTTGGTATATCCAAATATAAATTTTTGAGTAATAAAATCCTTTAAAAAATTCAAAATTGATAAAAATACATTTTTGAGTATATCCAAACTAACCTGAAATAATTACACCTGAACCGAATATATCTGAATTAAATTTGATTCGGATATTGAGTGTCAAAATATCACCCAAAATTTTCAGATATCCGAAATAAAACTCGGGTGTCACCCGTACCGAACCGACGCCCACCCCTAACCGAAATGGTCCCTTGACTATAGCAAAATTACCAATTTGATCTCGAGTTAACGAATGTCTAACGGCAAAACAAACGGAGGATCAAATTGGTTAAGATTTTTAAAGTTGAGGGACTAAATTTAATTATATTCAAGGGACTAAATTTGGAATTAATTACCACGAAAATTGAAAAAGTGTTATGGATTATTAAAATGCCCTTATTGTCCATCCAGATTTGATGGATATATTAATGATAGGACCAAAATTAATAGTCATGCACTAAAATCGTCGGATGAATTGATTACCGAAGATCTAATTTCAAAATATTACTATTGTGGGGACCGAAAATGAAATAAAGTTTTCTTTGGAATTTAATTAATTGATAAATTCTTTGTATTTAACTTATTAAAATGCAATTTCATTCCCCTAATATAGAATTAAAAAATAAACAAATAAACAGCTTCAAATTCTTCTATAAAAAAAAAAAAAAAACAGCTTTATTTGACATTAAAATATTGGAAATTCATTTTTGTCCTCAACCGTCAAATTAATGGTATTGGCATTAAATGTATCATCAAATTATTTAATTCTTATACAAATTGATGATGCAAAATAGATGGTGAGTATCCTCAATTTTGATCCCCGGATTACTGCGTTCACATTTTTCAACCATTGCATTTGCTTTTTTACTTTAACAGTCTATAGGATTATGAAAATCAAATGATATTGTGTAAATTCAAATAAATTTTGTTTATCATTTTTATAATTGGGTGGACGGATAGGTAAGATAAGATTAGAAGGTAGTCGGGGAAGAAAATTGAGCGTGTGTGACATTCTCTTGATTCTAATTTGAAACCAAAAGAAAATGTCGTGTTTTTTTCCGGCTTCTTCTCCTGTGTTTTTCAAACATTCAAATCTCCAGAACTTACTTTCCTCAGTGACACCTACTGTTGGGTTACAAGCTTTCAAACAGGTGATTTTTGAAATCTTTTTCTTTTTATTTTCACACACACACATACATACATACATACATACATACATACATACATACATACATACATACATACATACATACATACATACATACATACATACATACATACATATATATATATATATATATATATATATATATATATATATATATATATATATATATATATATGAGGAATGAAATTTGATTTTAGACCTAGTACTAAGAGCAACAGGCTTATTCACTAGATCATAAGACCATCAAGAGATTTATGCATTTCTACTTCTATATATCAATTAATTCTCAATTTTTGCTTTTAGTTTAAGATAAAATTTGTGATTGAAACCTCTAAATTAGCAATAAAAGTACGTTACATAATGTTTTGATGGCACAAAACTTATAGATCTATGCATAAGGTGCTTGGCATCGGTTGAGTTTAATATAAATGCCCATAGATATATGGCCCTTGAATAAATTCTGTTCTTTATTTTATTCGAAATAAATTTGATAGCATGTTTGTTCAATCCATTAAATAAATAATTAATTTAATGCTATAATTTACATCCTTAAAATTGTGATCCAAATATTTCAAATTTGATTTTGAAAAACATAACAAAATGTTGTTCTCTTTGTCAAGATTCTAGATTAATTGTTTTTTTTTTTTTTTTTTTTTTTTTTTTTTTTTTTTTTTTGGACTTATCAATGATTTAAATACCCCATGATAACAGGTAGATGGAGAAACAATTAAATATTTTACTCTTGGGGATTTATGGGACTGCTATGAAGAGTGGAGTGCATATGGTGTTGATGTTCCTATCTTATTAAATGGTGAAAGTGTTACACAATACTATGCTCCATACTTATCGGCAATGCAAATCTACACCAACAAACCACAACACACATCTCAGTAAGATTTTGTTGTTTAATTCTTACTTAATCTTAGAATTATTACTCCAAAAGCATGTGATGAAGTTAATGTTAGTGATATTTAATATCTTTAATTACTTGAACAAAATTTATTTTAAGATGATTGTTCTTCTTTTCTTGTTTTGTAATGTTACATGTGTATAAACAAACATCTTAGTAAGATTTTTGTTTAATTCTTATTTAATCTTAAAATTACAACTCCAAAATATGTTAAGTTAATATTTACTTGAAAATTTTAGTTTAAAATATATTTTCTTCTCCTCCTTCTTGGTAAGATTTATTTTTGTGTAATTTTCACCTAATCTTAGAATCATAACTCCAAAATTGCGGTTAAACTAGCATTATTAACTCTATTCAAAAATATTTAATTACTTGAATGAAATATAGTATGATAGAGTCCACTTCTATATGTGTGTATTGTAACTCATGTAAGAGACATTTGATGATGGAATAAAAAATATTTTTAACACAAGTTTTAAAGGAGTTTGTGTTCATTCACTCGAAAAATGGTTTTCTTTTTCCTAAATTTTTCTTAGGATCTCTTGTTTGGTTGAGAAATGAATTTAAGAAATTTACACATACTCAAATGTGTTATTTAATTTGATACATTCTTAAATTAGGAACATATCATTGTGTGAACTCCTTAAATTCAATCTTCAAGTAGGTGAGAGCTTCTTTGAAGAACGGAGATACAAAAGAATCATTATATATATTTACACACACATATACATCGGTGACATGTCCATGCTTTGGTGTGGCACTGCTCTTCCGTGTGGTCATGCAGACATATCAAAATCAATGAAGAAGAGAAAATATGCGGTAGTAATTTCGTAATTTTCTGCATCATGTATATATTTTGACGGTGTACTATGTGCTAGCGTGTGGTGCACTTTTGAGTGATACGTGGTGCACTTAATCTTGTGCACTTAGTATTGCACCACTCAACAGGGTGTCAAACCCCGTCGACGGGTTCAATAGACTCATTAGTCCAACGGTACTACTCAACGGGTCTATTGAACCCACAATGCCTTTCTTTTTTTGGTGGTGCACCGCATAGCACTCATAAATGCACTACACACCAGCACCTAGTGCATATCGAAATACATATGCTGCACAAAATTACTTAATTGCCACCGCATTTTTCCCTTTTGAATGATTTTTAGCCACTTGGTGGTGCATCAAAAAGCATCACGTAATGCACCACAGAGCACTCATAAGTGCACCATACACCTGTAGTTAATACACCACCGAAACATACATGGTCGATAAAATTACAAAATTACCCACATTGTTTCTCATCTTTATTGATTTTCATCCGTCTGATCTGAGCTAATCTCACGGTTCTAATATGTCCACACATCACAGGAGAGCTACGACGCATTTGAACCTATACACACACATACACAAAATCTAATAAGAGCCAATAAAGTTAGGCCTATAACGGGAACTAAAAATGTTGGTCCAATTGTTGGTTGAAACGAATGGTTCATATTATTTTGATTTTAGTATTTTTTTAAATTATTTTTTATACTTTACCGTACCCTCTATTATATCATTTACTTTTTCTAAATACCACCGCATTTCGTCAGTGTAAACTTTAGTAACGAAATATTTCGTTAACTATTTATTATCCTTAACTTATTGATTTTCATAAAGGAAGGTTTTAGGTTCAAACACATCTCAATCAGAGTTGGCATAATTGTTGAACATATACTATGAATACGTTATTAGAGTGTATTAAAAATTTAGTTTTTCACTACTCTCATTATGCGAATGAGATAATGCCCAATGTTTATTTTTCAATAAGTACTTCAAAGTATATCAATGCAAGATTATATAGGTGGTGAGATGTTCATGCATAGGTAATTGAATGTTGAATTTGTTTATTTTAATCGGTAATTCAAAGTAATGAATGCAAGATACTATATGAGAGATTGATTATAATTGCCATTAAAATAAATGTTTGCAACTTTAATTTGTAAAAACGCTAGTCTAAATACTTAGTCTAAAAACGATAGTCTAAATAAATAGTACTTTTGGTTTGAATTTCTCTAAGTCTCTCTTTTGGGTAGTATTGTCATTGTTTTCATCTTCAGTACTTGTATTCTTCTTTTTAATTGGTAGTGTGTCATGTGCAATTGAGTTACTGGTGGTGCTGATTGACATCGGTACTTCTTTTATTGAGTGCAACCCAAAGAATTTTAGAGGAAGCTCTAATTTTGCACTAGATAATATTCCCACAATTAACGTTTAATTTGTTTTACTTGTTGTAAATTTAGTTCTACTTTTGTCAACTAATTTGATAGTTAATGTTTATATATTGTTGTTGGCAAAGTATATGTTAATGTTGTTATATAATTGCACTCTTATGTTTTCTTAGAAGCTTAAGAGAGAGTGAAGATGTTGCAAGTGCTGAGGGTGAAAAATTGTGTAAGAAAAGTGAGAGTGATCTATCTTCAGAGGGAAGCACTGATGATTGTTGTCATAATAATCCATCTGTAGAGGCCGAACCACATGCCCACCTCTACATCAAGTTCTGTGATACATGCTCCCCATATTGGAGAATTCCTTTTGCAGAAAAGGTATTAATGATAATTATGATGACAAAAATAATTATTGATTATTGCACGATTAATTGGTATAAAATGATATCCCTTAAAATGATTGGTATAAAATCGCTAACTTCTAAGCCATGTGCAGGGACTCGGACCGTGACTATTATAAGATTATGGTTTAAGATTCCTTGGACCTATTTGGATAGGGCATTCCCAACCTCAACCCTTTCTTTGAGAGAAAATTATTTATTTCTAGATTCCTAAAATTACATCTTAGCTAGCTTGAGCAGATTACAAATAGATAGAGAGGTGTAATTTTATAATAATAACACAAGTATAATTCAGCCTCCTGTTGGTTACTATTCTTTATTAGCATATATATATAAATCTTGATATTTCTTTATTTTTACTATTTTTAATGAATATATCTAATATTGTAAAAAATAGATATACTCAAAAGTCTTATTTTGTTGGCTTAGATTGCTGAACTGGCAGAAGTGTATCCTGGGCTCTTGACATTGAAAAATATTGACTTGTCTCCTGCAAGCTGGATTTCTGTTGCTTGGTATGTGACTATTTTATTGGAATAGTAATTTTCTTTTATTAATTAAATTGGTATTTAATTTAATATATATATACTGTATCTTTACTGGGAACCAATACAAAGTCTGGTAGAAGCTATGTGATAAAATTGGGTGCATAATCTTATTATTTGTGAATTTTCAGTTTAATGTTTTAAAATAATTATTGTGCTTGTTTGTATTTGATTATAGTTGGTGCAGAAAGATTTTAATTGTATTGTTATGTTCATTAATTCAAGATATTAGAGCTGCATTACTATATATTTATTTCTCCCAAAAGGTTGAATCCCCAACCCCAAGGGCCCCACACGCCGGTCCGACTGAGCATTTGGAATGATGTAAATCACGGTAACTCAATGACTCAGCAGACAAGGCCAAATGTCGGCACGCACAAGGGACCTCCCCACTTTGGACATAATCCCTACAATGGCTCAGTAGATAGGGCCAAATGCTGGTGCGCACAAGAGATCTGCTCACTTTGGGCATAATCTCCCCACTGCCGCCGCCGAAATTTGAACATTGGTCTTTACTCCCAAGTACTGCTTACTAAACCATTAAGTTAAACCCGTGCGGTATATTTATTCATCTATTTATCTGAGGTATTGTAATTTGTTACCATTTGCTATTTGTATATAATATATATTTTATTTCATAGGTATCCTATTTATCAGATCCCAACAAAGGGAATTTGGAAGGATCGTTTGTCAACATGCTTTCTTACCTATCATAGTCTCTCACCATCTTCGCAAGGTATGAAATATTGTGAAACTACAATTAGACATCTCTAATATAAGAATTTGGCCAATTTTTTATTTTTAAATAAAATAAAAATTGCCCCTATCATATAATTGAGTTAGTTTCTAAGTTTTCTTATTATTTAAGATTTATTTCAAATTTGAATGTCACCTTGTAAGCTTTACGAGTGTGAGTGTGATTATTATTACTATTAAACTTTCTGTGTATATTTATTTATTTATTTATTTAGATCGTACGTATTGGCGGGCTTATTAATTTTTCAATTGTATTAACCTTGAAAACATTATCTATCATTATTTGAAAATTGCATTTGTAAATTGTACAAATATGAACTATACAAATACCATTATATATGTGTGATGGATTAAATGAGAACTAGTACCTAGGTGCAAATGTGCGAACCAGTATCATAAAATGCATTTTGCAACTCTGTGAGGTGCACTTTAGAGTTTGCGCATTCACAACTAATCATGTTGGGAGTAGTTGTGGTGCATTTCTTTAGTAGTTTATAGGTTCACACGAGAAGAAGGCTGGTTCGCATATGAACGCAAATCTATTTGTGTATTTACTATAAATATATCAAACTCTATCCATTATTTTAATTTATTCCATTTATTTTAATTTTATAGGAGGAGTGAATCCTAATATGGTTGGAAATGATGAGAAAGGGAAGAAAAGTTTAGAATTGGTGAAAGGAGAAGAAGGGGAGAAGTCTGATAAGAGTGGGGAAGCTCTATACCCCTTTGGGATGGCGACTTATAGATTGGATGATGAGATTTGGATAAATTCACATACTTATGATGACTATGAGAAAATTATTGACCTCTACAATGCTGCAGAGTCTTGGTTGAAGAAACTCAACTTTTGGCATCATGACTTCAACTTCTTTACTTCACAGTTCAGCATGGAAGGACTATCCATGTAATTTCCCTCAGCTCAGCTCCCATCTTTAATTTCTGGACACCCTATCTTTGGTTTGAAGCCATGGTGGCTTTAAATTAAAACAAATAATAATACCCTTGAAACTGTTGTACCATTTTAATTTAGACAAGTGTTAGTTGTATTCATGAAAATGAGTACTTCTGTGTTGTTGTTCATTAACTGTTATTGATATGATATACTTCAAAACTTGGTAAATGCTTTGCTCTTTTGTGTCATGGGAAATAATGGTGACAGTAGTTTTATCCCCTTTGTTGTGATGTTATTGAACTGTGTGGTATAAAGTTAGTCTGATCTCTGATCTCTACCGGGTGTTTGGTAGTCAGGAAAGTTTAAACTTTTCTTGAGAATTTAAAATATAGAAAATAAATTCATCTAGGGAAGGTATGATTCTTTTTCTCGGGGTGACTGAAGATTTACTAAATTTATTTAATTACGTATTTATCCTTTTAATATCTTGTTAAAAGTCTTTTATAAATATAAAAAATTTGTCTCTCCCACCATTACACATTGTTTATCGAAGAAATTTACATCCAGGTACGTAGTTAATGTTTTCTGTAATAATTGCAACATGATTCGTTACGTATAATGAACATGAGACTCAATTATGGAATCATTACGGAGGATAGAGGAGGGAATCTTTGATGATTGATATATATATATATATATATATATATATATATATATATATATATATATATATATAATATAAGGCAAAAATTTGTCTGAGGCCGTCTCACGGATCTGTGCTCGTGAGATGGGTCGGCTCAAGATGAAATGTAATACTTATACTAACAAATGTAATACTAAATTATGAATAAAATGCTTAATACATATATGAGAAAATGTAATACTTTTGAAGAAAAATGTAATACGTTTTCATTTTGCTAATTAACTTTTTCGAGGAAATGGTACATGTGATGACTGGAATGGTTCTTTAATTAGCTATAGCAAAATTACCAATTTGGTCCGGAGTTAACGGATGTCTAACGGCAAAACAAACAGAGGACCAAATTTGTAAAGATTTTTAAAGTTGAGGGACTTAATTGGTCAAAAATATAGTCAAGGACCAAATCGGTAATTTTGCTATAGTCAAATGACCATTTCAGTAATTAACTCATGGATATATATATATATATATATATATATATATATATATATATATATATATATATATATATATATATATATATATATAAAATAGAATTTTCATATGTTATCAAGACATACAATTTTTAACTAAGCTATTGCAGAGTTTACAAAGTAATTTTTACATACTAAAAATCTCAACTTACTCATTTGGTGAATTTCTCATTAAAGCAACTTGAGAAATTTGATATCTTCTCGTCCCTCAAAAATTCTAGTTTGATTACCGCAGTAAGAGAAATTGGAAACTTTTAGGATAGTGTGTTTCACACGCCTCAAGATGGTGTAATTAAGTGTTCCCATGTTTGTACTGAGTCTCAAATTTCTTATACGATACCCAAATTCCTAACAAGTTATACGAGTATTATTGAAATGTTTTTGGAGTTAAAAACCTTGAAATAAGAGGTTGGAAAATAGAAATAATGCTGCAAAAGTGGTTTCAATATAAGAATGTGAATAAGATGTGAATTTCCTACTTTACCCCTTCAATAATGAATGGTTTTTTAATTTTCTATCAAATTGAGACGGAAAGTTGACGTCGGGGACCAAACTCATCACTTCACTCATAACTGAAGTTCTAATGACACTTAAGATAAGGATGAGAATATAATTGTGTTGTATTCAATAATAATGTCTGAGAGTACGTACATGGAGCGAATATATAGAGATGCTAGATAGAATCCTAGTCTAACACGAATAATATAGTCCTAGTCTAATATGAATAATATAGTCCTAATACTCCCCTCAAGCACAAGGTTGGCTAGCCAAAACATTGAGCTTGTCACTGAGAGAGTTAAAACGAAGAGACGACAGAGATTTTGTGAAAATATCCGCTAGTTGATCCTTGGTTGAAATAAAGTGCACTTCTAACTCCTTTTTGGCTACTTTATCGCGAACAAAATGATAGTCAATCTCAATGTGCTTCATGCGGGCATGAAACACTGGATTGACACATAAATAAGTAGCTCCCAAATTATCACACCATAGTCGAGGAGGAGACGCAGGCGGGATGCCGATTTCATGTAATAGAGAAATGACCCATGTAACTTCTGCAGATACATCAGCGAGTCCCTTGTATTCTGCTTCAGTCGAAAAACGTGCCACAAAACACAGCAAAGTCACTAGTAGATTTGCGGTCATTTGGATCGCCAGCCCAATCTGAGTCAGAATAGGCGTGAATATCCATAGATGTAGATCGAGAAATACGCAGGCCAAGATTCAGGGTGCCTTTGACATACCGCAGGACTCTCTTTAGAGAGGCTTAGTCTGTAGTAGTGGGAGTATGCATATGTTGACACAATAGATTTACAGCATAAGATAGGTCCGGACGAGTTACCGTAAGATACTGGAGAGCACCAGCAAGACTCCTGTATTGTGTTGGATCGGCATAGGGAACGACCACGTCGTCTGTGATTTTCGCAGAAGAGACAGGTGTGATTACTGACTTGCAGTCCACCATGCCAGCACATTTGAGAATATCCTTCATGTACCGTTGTTGGGATAAAAGCATACCGCCAGATAACAGGACAGTTTCTATTCCCAAGAAGAAAGAAGGCACACCCATACCACGAACCTTAAATTCAAGTGCTAATTTATCAATAAGAGCAGTAACACGATCTGAGTCAGAACCCATAATTAAAATTTCATCAACATATACCAAGAAATAAAGACGAATATTGTCACGAGAATATATAAAAAAAGACACATCCGTCTTAGAAGGCGAGAAGCCCACAGAGACAAGAAAATCATATAGCCCTGTGAACCATGCACGTGGAGCCTGTTTGAGACCGTATAGAGATTTTTTAAGCAAACATACATGATTAGGTAACGACTTATCCTTTCATAACCAGGTGGTTGTCGCATGTAAACAGTTTCAGATAGCTCGCCATTTAAAAATGCATTGTGAATATCCAACTAGCGAATAGACCACCCACGAGATACGGCTAAAGATAAGAGAAGACGAATTGTAGTGGGTTTAACCACAGGACTAAAGGTCTCAAAAAAGTCATCTCCAGGAACCTGATTAAAACCCTTGGTTATTGATGGACAATTTTAATATTTTTGTCCTCGCAAGTGCACGAGTCGATTGTAGTGATAGTATGCAAAAGCAAGGGTCGAACCCACAAGGAATTGTAATAGTGCAATTAAAAGACTTGAAAATAATTGACTTAATAATTCAAAGTGCTCATAACCAATTAACAATCAAGATTAATTAAACTAAATGAAAAAGCATGTAGAAAACAAGGCAAGTAAATATAACAAAATAATATAATAACGAAGTGAGATGGCAACAAGAAAATATCACGAGCTTGACAATTTAAGAGCATCCACATTAGTTGGGAAGAATATGGGGATAATGTAAGAGTGATTAGGAGAGAGAATGTGGGGAAGGGAGAAAAAAAAATAAAAAAACTAAAATTAAAAAACAAACGAAAAAAAAAAAAAAAACCTGTCAGGCGCGCCGAACGGCGCGCCTGACGCCAAGCACGCGCCCGTGTGGGCGAGCTGCTGTGCGCGAAACGCGCACAGCAGCTCCTCTTTTCTTTTCTTTCTCTTTCTTCTTTTTCTGCATTCTCCCCAATTTTGCAGGATACTCCACAATTATCCCCATCCCACATTTGTTATTATCCCCATTGAGAAGAATTAATACTGAAATCTTCCCCTAATATGCACAAGTGTGGATGCTCTAAAGTACGGAACAAAAATCAAATATTAAGATAACTTAAATGCAAAATGATTGAAATTCAGGAAGTTAAATGAATGAATTATCGGGAAATAGAAAGCCAAATTAACATGCAAAAATGAGAAGCCTAGGAACATGAACCAACTATATATAAATGGCAGCTGATATCAATATTTCTAACTATTTATTATGCAACCAAAAGAAACTCTCCTAAGCATTAGACAATATACTTAATATCTAATCAAGCATTAAGCATTTCACTACAGTAAACAGTTCACAACTTTGGAATTAAAGGATTGTCAATACGGACAGCAAATTAAGAAAACGAAAGAGGAACCAGGGATAAATCTACTGCCCAGTAATGCCTCGATCTGCTTAACCTATTGTTGCTCGCCAAAATGAATTTCTGCTACGAAAGAAATCTGGTTACCGCCCAGGCTTTAAGCTACCACCGAACGGAATTCGCCCGCCGCCGAACTGCAAAAGAACAGAACCGATTGTCCGTCGCTCCTTCGTTTATCGCCTCCGGAATTGTTCCGGGGTGAAAAGTGATGATGAAGCCTCCTTCGAATGCCATCTATTTATATTGCTCAGTCTCAGCGACTTCCTCCGTATTTCTTCACCGTAAATCACTCCGATGAAGGCTTTCTTCAGCTGGGCGCTGTTGACTGGCTTTGTTCAAACATTCCGAAGCCTTAGTTTGCATAGAAAGGACTTCGACAAAGAACGAAGAATAATTCTACTACTACTACTAGTCTACTACTATTATTATTATTATTATTATTATTATTATTATTATTATTATTATTATTATTATTATTATTATTATTATTATTATTATTATTATTATTATTATTATTATTATTATTGTTATTGTTATTGTTATTGTTATTGTTATTGTTGTTGTTGTTGTTGTTGTTGTTGTTGTTGTTGTTGTTGTTATTGTTATTGTTATTGTTATTGTTATTGTTATTGTTATTTTAAAAGTTTTGTATTGCTAACTTGCTTTTGTTTTCTATTTTTTTTTTTACAATTGATAAATCTAATATATATATAAATACACAGACAAACACTAATAAAAGTCAATAAAATTAGGCCTATAACGCAAACTAATAAAATTCAGTCCAATTGTTTGATTAAATGATTGAAGCAAATTTAGGTTTAGGTTTTTTTTTTTTTTTTTTTTTTTTTTTTTTTTTTTTTTTTTTTTTCGTTTAATTATATTTCTTTTGATTATTTACAACAAAATTCAATATATCAATTATGCTTTTTGCATTATCGGGAACCAACTAAGTTCTAAAATACACAAAATCCCATCATCAAAACCCTAAACACTAATCCCTAAATAACAAAATCGATCCCCGGCAAAAATAAAAATTAAAAAAATCCCTAAATCCTAAACCTTAAACCATTACCCCTAAGACTCAAACCCTTTTCCCAAAACCTAGGTCACTAAAGCCTAGACAAGCTCTAAACCTCTTATCCAAAGCCCGGGTGCACAACTTAATTGCTGTTACAATTTACACTGTCAATAACCACTAAATGCACAATCAATAAAGCAAAATGATTATTATAAGTTATACTATTTTTTTCATTAAAAAAAACCCCATTAACAGAATAGGTTAATATTGCATTCGATCAATTTTAAACAAAACACAAATTAAGCACTTCATTAGGGATTTGATATTCTTATAATCTAAGATCTCTTGAATCAGATACCCGTAAAAGTTCCATTGAAAGTCGTCTAATAGCTTTAACAAAAATTCAAAACTTTAATTTTTCAACTTCTCAACAACCTCATTAAAAATTCATATTGTCCAAAACTCTCTAGATTTCTCTCATTTTCTCACAATAAGTACATAAAGTTAGTACATTTATTTCTATTAGAACAACCAAATAATGTTTTTAATTTTACTTTTAGTTATTAATATGTTAAAAATCTTTTTAATAAAGATAGTTGGAATAGCTTAGTTGGCCAGCGCGTGGGGCTGTTAACTACAAGGTCAGAGGTTCAAGCCCTCCATCTAGCGACGAATTTGAAGAATTTAATAACTACGATTATATATTTCGTATGGAAATGCACATACATAAAAACTATATAATGGGCTCAATATTTAAAACGTGACAAAAAACATTGGCCTTCTAAGAGGAAAATTCCGTATGGAAATGCACATACATAAAAACTACAATGGGCTCAATATTCAAAACGTGACAAAAAAACATGGCCTTCTAAGAGGAAAATTCCGTATGGAAACGCACAAACATAAAAATTATAATGGGCTCAATATTCAAAACTTGACAAAAAAACATGGCCTTCTAAGAGGAAAAAGGCAGGTAACCACAATTAATTTTAGGGGTGACATTGAAAATTCGCATATTTGTGAAGGACATCAATTACAAATTTTTGTTAATTAATCAACACCGAAGTCATATCAAATTTTTCTGGTTCATGTTTTTTGCAGAATTTATGTTAAGTAAATTATTTTTACTATTTTTTTATCACATGTTATTGTATTATTATTATTATTATTATTATTATTATTATTATTATTATTATTATTATTATTATTATTATTATTATTATTGTTATTGTTATTATTATTATTATTGTTGTTGTTGTTGTTATTATTATTATTATTATTATTATTATTATTATTATTATTATTATTATTATTTTAAAAGTTTTGTATTAAAAGAAAAAGTTAATATTACCTTCGATCAATTTTAAACAAAAGACAAATTAAGCACTTCATTAGGGATTTGATATTCTTAATGTGTAATCTAAGATCTCTTGAATCAGATACCCGTAAAAGTTCCATTGAAAGTCTAATAGCTTTAACAAAAATTCAAAACATTAATTTTTCAACTTCTCAACAACCTCATTACAAATTTATATTGTCCAAAACTCTCTAGATTTCTCTCATTTTCTCACTATAAGTACATAAGGTTTGTACATTTATTTCAATTAGAACAACCAAATAATGTTTTTAATTTTACTTTTAGTTATTAATATGTTAAAAATCTTTTTAATAAAGGTAGCTGGAATAGCTCAGTTAGCTAGAGCGTGTGGTTGTTAACTACAATGTCGAAGGTTCAAGCCCTCATTTTAGTGACGAATTTGAAGAATTTAATAACTATGATTATATTTCGTATAGAAATGCACATACATAAAAACTATAATGGGCTCAATTTTCAAAACGTGACAAAAAAACATGGCCTTCTAAGAGGAAAAAGGCAGGTAACCACAATTAATTTTGGGGTGACATTGATAATTGACATATTTGTGAGGGGCATCAATTACAAATTTTCGTTCATTAATCAACACCGAAGTCATATCAAATTTTTCTGGTTCATGTTTTTTGCAGAATTTATGTTAAGCAAATTATTTTTACGATTTTTTTATCACATGTTCTTGTATTATTATTATTATTATTATTATTATTATTATTATTATTATTATTATTATTATTATTATTATTATTTTTATTGTTATTGTTGTTGTTGTTGTTATTATTATTATTATTATTAGTATTATTATTATTATTATTTTAAAAGTTTTGTATTCGTAACTTGCTTTTGTTATCTAATTTTTTTTTTTTTACCTACGTTGGAATTGATAAATCTACTACACACACACACACACACACACACAAACACTAATAAAAGACTATAAAGTTAGGCCTTTAACGCAAACTAAAAAACCTCAGTCCATTTGTTTTATTAAATGATTGAAGAAAATTTAGGTTCAATTTTTTTTTTCATTTGTTTTGTTTAATTAATTTTCTTCTGATTATTTACAACAAAATTCAATATATCAATTATGCTTTTTGCATTATTGGGAACCAGCTAAATTCTAAAATACACAAAATCCCATCATCAAAACCCTAAACCCTAATCCCTAAATAACTAAATCGATCCCCGGCAAAAATAAAAATTAAAAAAAAATCAAA